GCTATTTACTGTATTTTCTAGATGATCATTGTGCATTGCTTTGTCCTCTTTTATGTTAACCTGGTTGTGACAAGAAAGCATACTTAGTTCTTCAGTTTTATGAGCTGAGGGATCATTATTCTGAGTGCTAGCCCATGCTAGACATAGAGACTTGAGGTTAAAAAGAAGTGTAAAATAATATTTTCTGTGAATTCATGGATTTCTTTTCATCAGCATTCAAGAGCCCTAAGGATTTTAGGGGTCATATTTTTAATGAGTTATCTTGACTCTTTTTAACTTCAGTGGGGGTCATTCAGCAAATAAAATCTCACCAAAGTTAGAGGTGCCTATGGTTCATGAATGACAGAATAGTGAGAAAATTCTTTAAGTTACAGGAGGAAGACTTAATGGGGGGTGGTCATTGAAATTACTTTTGAGAGAATCTTTAAATTATAAGGTAGAATGTTAATAACTGTCTTAGTTTCCTTAGAACTGGAGCTAATGTTTCCTTGTAGTCAAAAGAATATATAAACACATAAATTAAAAAGTAGAAAATAAAACTTTAAATGGCATTAAACAAGCTAAGCCTTTAAAAAACAATTTTGTTCCTTTTGAGGTTGATTTTCTTTTCTTTCAAGAAATGTTGAAGAGAAGGTATATTAAGAAAAAAGTCACAATTACAGGAAAATTTTTTTCTTTTTCATTTTCCTCCTACATTTGAGCACAAAATATGTTTGGACCATAGATATGAACTTTTTTGAAATTTGCTTTGTTTACTTAGATGTGGAGAGGTTGTGAGCAGTTTACAGATATTCAGTTAGTAGTGATTTTAGAGTGCATTTATGCTTTTTTATTACTATTCTGTCCATGCAGTAATATGTTTCATTAGGAAAAACTCATATGATACTTTTAAACAGATATTTCAGTATTTTAAATGGATTCAGAAACATGATCAATGGATGTTCAAGAAAAAGTAACAAAATAATAGATATTATTTTCACCAAGAAAGAATGAATTGAAATTAAATATAAAGACAAATCAACAAACACCAATTGAAGGATACTCTTTAAAAGGTCTATATTTTTCAAAGAAGTCAATGTCAAAGAAGACAAAGAAAGGCTGGGAAATTGTTGTACATTTAAGAACTGAAAACAAACTTAAAAACTAAATGGAGTGATCCTTGATTAGATCCTGAACCAGGCAAAAACCAAAAATATATAAAGGGCAATTGATAAAGTCTGAATGGGGCCTATAAATTGAATAATACTACTGTATCAATGTTAATTAAATGTACATGTAAGTGAGATCTTCTATTTTAGGAAACAATGAATTATTTAGACATAAAAGGGTGAGATGGTATCTGCAACTTGCTCTGAAATGATTGGGAAGTAAAATTTATATAAAACAAATGGATAAACTGATAATAATCTGCAAATCTTTATGGAGTACAAATTCTGTATAGTCATTATAATATTTCTGTGAATGGAAACTATCACAAAATCTTTAAAAAATATAAAATTTTAACAGTTAAAAAAAAATCCTCCAATGGCATCCCATCTTACTGAGTTAAAAGCCAAAGTCCTTAAAAGGGCACACAATCTTGACTCCATTTTCTCTGTCTTATCATTGCCTTCCAGCCAAAGACTACCAGGCACTCTGTAGTTGAATAAAGTTGGGTTTATTACTTGTTGCAGTGATGAAGAACACATACCATGGGGAACCATTGGACAGTTCAGTGAGAAAGTATAAAAAATGGCTTAATGGGATTAGGGCTTTGCATAGGTTATTTTCCAGAGGGTCATAGAAAGTGGAGTTTTGATCCAGATTGGATGACATCAAGAAACAGGTATAATTATGCAATTGGCTATCTGAATGATTCCTACCTAACAAAGGGAAGACTAGAATAGGCTGAAGTTATAATTGGTTGGAAACACTCCTATGAGTCCAGATAGGGGGATGTTTGGTCATTTCTTTGGCCAAGGAAATGTTCATATTTTTTCTGTGTTCAGTCAGATTACATAGTGATCTTGTTTTTATCTTGATCCATGGTTCCAGAGTGGCTTTGTCTGATGTTGATGCTCTGTGAAATTGTTTATGTTCAACAGGGGAACCACCAGTTCATAGCAATACCGAGGCCTAAATGAAATAGTACCAGGCCAGGGCCCAGACACCAGGGGCTGATTTTCTTTTTCTTACTTTGCAATTCTATTTATGTGGCAAGAGAGTTCAGTGGAGCAGCCAATCCTACTAAGGAAACTAAGGAAAATAAGGATAGAAAATAAAATCCTATGTTTCTTCTCGGGTTTTTTGCAGTAGATAAAAAAAAAATTTTAAATTTAAAAATTTTTAAAAATGGTAGACCAGTTGCTTTGGGAAATCCTGAAACATTTATATTTGTTACTTTTTAATTGTCTTGATCTCTCACCTTAGTAATTTGCAGCAAAAACTTGAAAATGTGGACACCTTTTGGTGGTGGCTCAGTGGTTAAGCATCTGCCTTTGGCTCAGGGTGTGATCCTGGGGTCCCAGGATCAAGTCCCACCTTGGGCTCCCTGCAGGGAGCCTGCTTCTCCTTCTGCCGATGATTCTGCCTCTCTGTGGGTCTCTCATGAATAAATAAATAAAATCTTAAAAAAAAAAAAACTTGAAAATGTGAAGGTGCTGTGACATCTACTTTACTGCTAGCACAAAAGGAGGTAACGTGGAAATATATTCCATAAAATAGATGACGGTAACTTTAGGGAATGGACAAAGAAAACAGATGAATTGTGATTTGCATTAAGAAAACAAGGAAAACATGGAAGGAAATCTAGGCAGAGCAGAAGCCCCTAAGGAGAAAGGCCTATCACAGTTCCAACTGGTTTACTATTGCAGGGTGGCTGAGGCTCTCATTCAAAAAACAGTAGTTTCTGTATTTATGTTTCTTGGGCCCTCAGCTTATCCCTCAAATGAGAACTGCCAAGTGGCTCAAATACTGTTCCAGCAGCTTCCATCTTCTTCATTCCAAGTAGTTGCAGTTCAAATATTCAAAGAATACTTTCTACAGCCTTGATCAGCATGGTATAAATTTACTCTAAATTGTTTCTCGTAAAATAAATAAAATAAAATAAAATAAAATAAAATAAAATAAAAAATAAAAAAATAGTTTCTCGTATTCATTCAAAAAGATATTTCCAGAAAGAATGGTTTATTCCTCAGTTTTTTAATTACTCAATTTTAATACTTAATAGTTAAAAAATGCTATGCTAACATTACATGCTAACATTCAACTAGTTCTAACCCTATACTAGAAAAGCTCTCAAACAATAAATCTAAAGGTACCTTTTAAAAATAAATATTCCTTCATGATTCTGACATGGAGGAAATTGCTAGTAGTTTAGTGGTTAACAATTTGTATACTCTGAATTTCTAGTGTATCATATTTAAAAAGGTAATGAGCATGATCATTAAAATCATCATTTTCTGAAGTTCCAAATTCAACTATCAGGGATAACATACGGACAGGCCAGTGAATTATTTCTGCTGTCAGGAAATGTAAAATGTAATAATATTTTATTGTTTTTCACTGTACGTGATAGAGGCTTTGAGTATTTAAGGAGAATTGGTTCTAAGACATCACAAATGGAGCCACTTACGTAAGACAGAACTAGACCTGGAAGTATGACCTAAGGATAAATCTCAAGATCAAAACCACTTCAGGAAAATTATATTTTGTACTTTTATGCAGTCAAATCTGTCAATCTTCCTTTGATGGTTTTTGACAATCCAATATCAAATAAAAATTTCCCATATTTTTTCTAGTACTGTATGATTGCTGTATAATTTCATTTCTAAAAAAAATTAAATATTTTAAACCTTTGAAATTTACTTTGGCATGTAGAAAAATGATAGTATTTTTAAGTGAGGAAGAGGAATACGTACATATAACATGCACACGTGCTGGTGTGTGTCTGTTTTAAGATTTATTTATCCATTTTGGAGAGGGAGAGAGAGAGCATGAGCAAGAGGAACAGAGGGAATGGGAGACAGAAACTCAAGGAAACTCTGCACAGAGCACAGAGCCCAATGCGGGGCTTGATCCATGACCCTGAGATCATGACCTGAGCTGAAACCAAGAGCTGCTTAACCGACTGTGCCATCCAGGTGCCCCCATGCTGGTGTATTTAATGAATGTCTCCAGAAAGGTACATAAGAAATTAGCAGTTCTTCTGGAAACAGAACATAAGGACAGAAGTCAGAAGAAAATATTTTTTAATCTAGCCCATGCTTGATAATACTATGTGCATTTAAATAAATGTTTGCTTTATGTAAAAATAACATACTAAGGCCTCTACCTAAGATAAAGAAAAGGTTCCAGTAGTAAAGTTATAGGGGGGAATCCAAAACAGGTTAAACCTCCTCTGAGGAGTATTAACCTGGACAGAGGGAAAAGAATGTTGACAGTTTTCTGGACACCATGGTTTATGACAAATAGAAGACTGAACATTCTCCACTCCAGGTGGCTATGGAGGAAATGGTGAAATTAAGGAAGAACTAAGATCCAGTTTAGAATAGTAAATGTAAGGATTGAAATGCTCTACAAAATATCTGAGATCTATACTATATTGTAGTCGAGTATGAACTACAAAAAGGTAGAATAGGGAAGGTAGGCAGTCGCAAAAGAATTCAGAAGAAATCCAATACTCATCATCAATCTCTGCTTCTTCATTTCCCATATTCAATAAACCACTAACGCTGTCCGGTTTTACTTTCTAAGTATTTCTTGAATCACTCACTTTTCAAGGGACATTCATGTCTCTCCTTGAGTAATAAAACGGCTTCCTAAATGATGGTTCTGTGTCCATATCAATCCTCCTGAAATTCATTTGTACGTTGTAAACAGAGTAATGTTTTCGAAATGCAAACCGGATCACTACGCTAGTTGAAAGTCATTAAATGGCTCCCTATCAAAGTAAGGTAAAGAGCAAATTTGTTAATAGTCTAATGGACACAGGTTCAACTCAAAATGTGTGCACTACTCACCTTTCCAGCCTCATCTTCTGTCATCGTTCCCATCCGTCTCAACTCCCCACCACAAAAATATACAAGCATTCGTGCAGTCCCTCTAACCACAGATACTTCACATATGCTGAGCAACTTGCCTCTAGAAATCTTTGGAAATCTTGAGATTTCAGCTCAATATCAACTTTCTGCAAAAAGTCCTGATTGGTCAGGAGTAGTCTTGATTACAGCCTCTTGATGTACTAGGCAGCTCTTCTTCACAGAAATTAAAAACATTCATTGTACTTTTCTACATAGTTATGTGCATAATGATTCTTTCCACTGCTATTTAGAACCCATGGAGGATAAAAACTGCCATGTATTCATAGAATGCTCACTGTGCACTTTTCTGGGTAAACAAAAAATAAATGAATGAACAAATGAATGAATGAACTGAAGAGAGCAAGGAGGAAGGGAACATAACAAAGAGCAAATGAGAGCCCTCCAGGAGATGGCTCACTAGAAGATGAGTTGGCATTTTGTTGACAAAAATGACAGGGATAGAGCTACATTTGGATTGCTGAGCTTCGACATGTCAAGACTGAGGTTATCCAAGAAAGAGAGTCAATCACCTCTGACCTATTTACTATGATGAAAATGACAAACATTTCTGAGTTTCTTTCTTCGGTTCTAGATAGTAACCTTGGGTAGTCAGTTTGTTCAAAATATACATTTCTGACACTTTCAGCAAAGATTTCCCTATTATGTCTATAGACAGATTTCTAGAGTTACAATCCCAATTTAATACTATCTTTGTATAATTTGATCTATAACAAAGCAATTTCCATTTGTAAACCCTATTGACCTGATAAAAACAAATTCTTTGTAATGAAGCTAAATAATTATCTAATTCAAAGGGGAAAAGGAAAGCAAGTGATCTAAGCTAAATTTTATTAATAGGAAGCAAAATAAACTCTAAGTATTTGTATACCTAAACACTATTCCAATTATGCTTAAAATTAAGGGGACAAATTATGTTTGAATTTGTTTCAATGCATATATTTTTTTACTTCATATATATCTTTAATAATGAATAGAGTACAAAAGTCTTTTTAAACAGGAATAGCATATGGGCTCTCTTTCCTTAAAATATATATCATCAAATGAGGTAAAATTGTTCTCCAGTATCTGTGTTTGTGTGTATATGCATGCATGCATGTCTGTATACACACACATACAGAGGAAGGATGTGAAAGAATGAAATCTTACATTTGTGATTTAAGACTGAAAGAATTGAAAGAATGAAATCTTACATGTGTGAATTATATAATTTACACATTAGAGATAAGCCTATTTTGTGCATGGATGCATGAGTGTATTACATACATGAATTTGCATTTGTATAAAAGGTGTAGTTAAAAATGACTGCAGAGCAATATATAAGTGGATGATAAAATTAGTCATGATGATTAACTACCAGTTACTCATCACCTCCTACATGCTGTGTTTTGTGCTGGGTACTTAATGAATATTATCTCTAATCCTTATACCAACATTATAAGAAAAGTTAGTTACCGTTATTTTCTTTCTTTTCTTTTCTTTTTTTTTCTTTTTCTTTCTTTTTTTTTTTTTTTTTTTTTTTTAGGTTTTCATTTACATTCCAGTTAGTTAACCTATAGTGTAATACTGGTTTCAGGAATAGAATTTAGTGATTCATTATTTAGGTATAACACCCAGGGCTCATCAAGACAAGTACCCTCCTTGATGCCTATCACCCACTTAGCGCATTCACCCTCCTCCCCTCTGGTAATCAGCAGTTTGTTCCATAGAGTGAAGTCTGTTTCTTAGTGTCTCTTTTTTTCCCCTTTGCTTGTTTCTTAAGTTCCACATATGAGTAAAATCAGATGGTATGTGTCTTTCTCTGACTGACTTATTTCACATAGCATAATACTCTCTAGCTCCATCCAGGTCATTGCAAATATAAGATTTCATTCCTTTTGATGGTTGAGTGATATTCTGTTGTACATATATACCACTTCTTCTTTATCTCTTCATCAGTTGATGGACACTTGGGCTGTTTCCACAATTTTAGTTATCTCTATTTTCAAATGTAGCAATTAAGAATGAGAAAGCTAAAGTGCAATTTCCAAGGTTATTACATCTAGTATATATCTGACTTAAAGCTTCCTAACATTATTAAAATTCATCAAATATGTACAAAGCAAAATAATAAGACATTAATAATAGCTTATAATTACCAAGTGTTTAACTCTGCCTGTCCCTGTGGCAGGTGTTTGCAGTGCATTATGTCATGTAATTATCAAAATCAGCCTATGAGGGTGATACCACTGGTACACTGAACATCTACCATAGCATTGTGCTAGGACTGGACAATTTATCTCATATTATCAAATATGTAATCTCATTATTAAATATGCAATCTGATTAACATATCAAATATATAATATGCTCCAGGGAAGAGCTAACAACCCTATTGAAATATATATGTTTGAGATGTGGATTCATGCACTATACCCCTGTTTTTGTGCCCATCTATGACTTAAAATAATAATGGAATGAATATGATTGTTCTATTCCCTTATGTGGTTATGAGCAGGGATAGAATACCTGAAGCTCTTTGTTTAATATTGAACAGATAGTAACTATCATGGACATGGCAACCCTGAGAGCACTGCATTCAGATCTGTTGGGCAATCTTCCAACAAATGTGAGGATAAACAGATTAAGGAGTCAACATGGTTAGAATCACCTAAAGATTTCATCTAACAAACTCTAGCCTCTTGTATCAAGGGCAAGTCATTCTCTTAGTTTAAAGCATGATGAGCTAATACACATGTCAAATAATGGATAAACACAATTTCAGAGATCAATATAGATACATTTTAGTATTTTAGTATTTTATTTCTTTTCAGTAAGAAGTGACCAAATGGGTAAAGTAATTGAATCACCTCTCTATAAAGAACCACTAGTACAATGAATCTAGATTACAAACTTAGAACACAAAAAAATCATCCTGCAGTTATAACTAGGCCACAAGATCACACTGAGAATACTATAAAAGGGAGGCATGAAGAATTATAAAAAATCAGTATCTGTAAGATAAAGTCACATTATTTGCTTAGGAGAAACATAGCACTCTCTGACAGTGCTGTAAAGAAATTTCTCCCATGGATCTTCAATATTGTAAATATTGTAAATAAATAGGACATTGAGAATTAAACTTTGTAACAAGCTTTTGATAAGATCAAAAGTATCACAAGAGTTTTCACGTCATTACTTCACTTATTCCTTTATACAATAAAGAATTAACAATTTTCTCTTTTGGGCCAGGCACATTGCTCTGGCACAGGGAGTATAGTGTCGAAGAAGACAGTGTTTGTCCTCATGGTGTTTGTCCTCCAACAGGGAGAAAGATAATGATGGAGTACACATACAGAGGGAGTGAAAGTAAATTGTATGGGGGTGGAAGAGGAGGTGGTCCTTTGTAGGCACCCCAAGGATGTAATATTGGAGAAGGGAACCTAAATAATGTGAAACAGAAAGCCATGGACGGTAGGACAAGGGAAACAGTTCAAGTTCAAGGCTCTCTGGTGGGAAAGAGTCTGGAGTTCCGGAGGGTCATCAGAAGCCCATGTAGCTAGATCCTGATGGGCATGGTTCTTAGTTATAGGAGGAGAGACAGAGAGGACCAGTAGGCAGGCTTCATGGCCATTGTGAGGACTTTGGCTTTACTCTGAGATGGGGAGTTATTGGCAGGTTTTGCCTAGAACCTTGGGAAAACTAATAAAATTTAAAAATTCTAAAAAATATATATTTGGCTAGTACGTAGAAAATGGACAAGAGAGAGTAGCATGAATGCATAAAAGGAGACCAATTAGGAGTCTGTTACAGTAACCCAGTTAGGCAGTGAAGTAGGTTCACACTAGCAGTATTGAGTATTAAATAGGCAGTGCCTGGAACATAGTGAGTACTTAACAAATGAGAGCTATCATTATTATCATTAGAGTGATTGCAGGTTTGATAGTAAAAAGGGGATGAAATTTGAAAATGTTTTTAAGATAGAGCCCACAGAAATTTTTGACAGATTGGAGATGGATAATCAGAGGTGGAGAGGTCAAGAATTGCCTTGAAATTTTGGCATAAAAAACTGAGTGAATGATGTAAACTTTTCCTTGGGGGAGGGGGGGAGGTGTTAGAGGCAGAATAAAGTTCTATTATTATTTGCAAAAAAGAAAAAATTAGAATTATTCTGGGAAATAATATAAATACTTTATTTTATGGGATATTAGCATGTATTATTATATATTATTCTCATCTCATTCCCCGGGGACATGTAGAAACTAGGATTCTTTTGTATAGAAGAGGAAATCAAATTGGCAGGAAACATAAATGGCTTCAAAGTCTATAAATCAGCCAACATATATTATCACAGCTAATCATGCCTTGGTAAATATTGACTATACTGTCATATTCAACTCTTATCTCTGGAGAAGGATAATGCTGAATTTTCCCTGAAATTTGCTAATGAGTAACCATAACTATTATCTGTCTATCTATCTATCTATCTATCTATCTATCTATCTATCTATCTATCATCTATCTATCTATCTAATGTATTAATAAAGAGAAAGAGGAATAGTTAAAAATTACAAAGAATAGGTTGAGAAATGAAGTGTGAAGTAACTTAAGCAATTAGGTAACCCAAGATACCTTCCTTTTGAAGTTTTTAAAACATATAACACTTTTGTAAATAACAAATAACCAAAGTGAAGAAAAGCTCTACTTTCTTTTTAGATTTTCTGCTGCATAATCAAGAGGGTAAATAATTTTTATGAAGATGTACAAATGCCAGATAGTTTTAGCACCACAAATGTCACCTTTGGTGAATTGCAGGAAGCAAAATAGTTAACTAATCATAGTACAAAAAATCACCACATTGAGATCAATTCACAACCTTCCTAGATTCAAAGTCTGGTCTTAATTAGTTCTTTTAACCTTTCTGTATAAAAATGTGTCCATTACTGTAACAGTTATTACAACCAACCTCAATTACAAGGCTGTTTTGAAATATAAATAAATAATTATAAGATATTTTGGGGGAAAAAACCTGATCATGACTTAAAGAACAAAATAAATTTAGGTGAATATATATATGCTTTGGTTAAAAAATTAAAACATTCATTAATAGTCATCACTTTCTTTTTTTTTAATTTTTTTAAAATTTTCATTTATTTATGATAGTCACAGAGAGAGAGAGAGAGAGAGAGAGAGGCAGAGACACAGGCAGAGTGAGAAGCAGGCTCCATGCACCGGGAGCCCGATGTGGGATTCGATCCCGGGTCTCCAGGATCGCGCCCTGGGCCAAAGGCAGGCGCCAAACCGCTGCGCCACCCAGGGATCCCTAGTCATCACTTTCATTATCACAGCTAAAATTAATTGAATGCCAACCAATATCAGATATTTTATATATATATATGTATATATATATATACATATATATATATATCTTCCAATTCTCACGACACTGAAAAATAAATATTATCTTAATTTTACACCAAAATTAATTAGCTTGTGCATTTATATTGTTGGGATATAGCAGAGCCAGGATTGAGACCCAAATGGATCTAGTACTGAAATTGTGTTCTTTTCATTACAGTCCATTGTCTAAAATCCTAGGCAAAGCAGAAGAGCTAAGAAATAACAGGAAGCAAATGATTACATCACTGTCCTAAAAATAACACCCATATATGCAGTTATAGTACAGATTCACTACTAACACAGTTCAATGTATGGTGAAAGAACTGAATGACATTGTGAATGCCATGAAAGATCTCTGACATCAGGGGATATGGTGTGACTGAGGTCATAGCAACTGGATGCTAAGGAACTGGATACTGAGCTGCCTTAAAAAGAAAAGTAGTATTCATGGAAGAAATGCAGAGAATAGAAAATGCCTTTCCAGCAATTGAAAACTGGCAGATTAATAAAAACAGTCATGAGTCATAGCACGCTTTCAGATAAGAATCAAATTGATCTTGTCTGAGATCCAAACTAATATTTTATAGCACGTGACAATTTACACACACTTTCATATGTGTGCGTGTGTAGAAATATATGCACATGTGTATGATATATTTGTTCTGCATTAAACTGGAAAAGCAACCATGGAGAAAATAAATCAGTCACTACTGGAGGCAGAACCCAATCCATGTCCCCTCACTCCAAAATTAATGTACGGAATTAATGGAGATGTAATCATGCAGGATTTTTAGCTCTCTACTTCATGGTCAAAGCATTTCCTCATCTCCATCTTCACTGCGATTTCCTCTCAATTCCTGAATACATTACTCAAAGCCATTCACAAGGCAGACCCAGTCCATCTTTCATTCACACCAGAAATCTGACCATTCCTCTAAACACACATGCATGGATCCTATGTACCTGAGTCTTTAACCATGTTCCTCCTAGTTTCAGGTATAATCTATCTCCTAAAAGGCTACTACTCCATTAGATCCAACTAATTGAACTTTATCAGATACCATATTCTTTAGGGGAAAAAAAAAGCATAAAGAAACAGAGTGGTAGTCTGAATAATGTCCCTGCTCAAATCTCTGCAAATATGTTGCTTTACATGGTGGAAGGCTGGGGTGGAGATGTGATTTTGGAAGAGGTGATTAAAGGTAAGGACCTTGAAATGGGAATAATATCCTGAATTCTCCTAGTAAACCTAATCTAATCTCATAAGTCCTAAAATGTCCCAGAGTTAGGCAGAAAAATGAAGTGCAAAAACTGAAAGAGAGGCAGAAAATACTCAAATTATGAGAGGGACTGAATCCACTATTACTTGCTTTGAAGATGGAGCAAGAGAGCCACTAGCCAAGGACTGTGGGTGGCCTCAAAAAGCTGGATACAACCCTCAGCTGATAGCCAGCAAGGAAACAGGAAGCTGTGCCCTACAACCATGAGGAGGTGAATTCTAACAACAGCCTGAATGAGCAAAGAAACATTTCTCCTAGAGCCTCTGGAAAGAAATGAATGCATCCCTCACACAGTGTGATATTCCACTCAGTGAGACGTGAGTCACAATTCTGACCTACAGAGCTATGAGATAATAAAAATGTGTTCTTTAAAGCCACTAAATTTGTGGCATTTTGTCATGGCAACCACATAAAACCAATATGGTGAGGCATGGAGGTTGTAATTAGGCAAATCTGAGTGTGCATTCCACTTACCTTTATGCAGTTTGGTAAGTCATGCTTACATTTAAATTATATCATTTGTAAAAAGAAGATAATCCTTCAAAAAATGCATCTAAACTTCCAAACAGGGCCCTGGTTACACCATACATCTATCAAAAAATAATGGCTATCATTATTAATATTATTACTAACATAATGGATATTATTACTATTTTAATATTGCTTTTGGGGGATCTTCATAACACTTATGTTTATCACAGTACTACTGCATATAGTATAATTTAAAAAAATAACTCTGGGGATCCCTGGGTGGCTCAGTGGTTTGGCACCTGCCTTTCGCCTGGGGCGTGATCTTGGAGTCTCGGGATGGAGTCCTGCGTCGGCTCCTGGCATGGAGCCTGCTTCTCCCTCTGCCTGTGTCTCTGCCTCTCTCTCTCTCTCTATGTCTATCATGAATAAATAAATAAATAAATCTAAAAAAATAAACAAAAATAAAAAAATAACTTCATTTACAAAGATGTCTCTCCTATTAAACTCTAAGTTTCTTATAAAAAAAGAAGGAAGAAGCCTATGGCATTCATCTTTGCATCTCTAGAGCTTGGAATATTATTATATATAAGCATCCACTCGATAAATGCATGCTGAATTGAAAAACAAAGTGGCATACCCATCTGAGAAGTTTGAACTTTATCTTTCAGCATAGGAAATATTGAGAAATTCTCAGCAGGGGGGTGATGTGGTCAAAATATTGTTCTAAGTTTAATCTTTTAAAACTGAAAAATGAATTGAAATTGGGAATGACTGGATGCAGGAAGACTAGTTGGGTTCAATTAGTTTCTTTTATTTGAGATTTGACACATTAGAAAACTGGCAGAGATTAAAGTCACTTAAGGCTCTATTTTTAACTCTGAGGAGACAAAGGTTAAAACTCATTAAAAAATCAAGTCTAATATTCTTTCTACCATGCGGTACTACTACTCCTGGTTTAGAGTCTGGTGGTGAACTTAATGCAGAAACCTAAGAAGCAATATCACCTGCCAGACAGTATCCACTTTCCAATGTATAATGGAAAATTAATGACGGGCAGCCTCCTCTGCTCTAGGTTAATAATTTTCAAGGAAGCACTGATTTAGAGGGTTGAAGCTTGACATAAAATCATGCAAAGCTACTCCTGTGATTCTATACCGATAGTAGTTCCTGGTTACATTAGGTCTCATAAGACTCAATAATTTTAAGAATCATGAAGAACTAAGTATAGTTACTGGTGGCAGTAGCTCTGGGTAGGGATCATTCAGCTTAACAGGATTCTTTGAATCAAAGAGACACACCTCTCATGAACTATTGGGACTTCATCAAGATAAGAAGCTTTTGCACAGCAAAGGATACAGTCAACAAAACTAAAACACAACCTACAGAATGGGAGAAGATATTTGCAAATGACCTATCAGATAAAGGGCTAGTTTCCAAGATCTATAAAGAACTTCTTAAACTCAACAGCAAAGAAGCAAACAATCCAATCATGAAATGGGCAAAAGACATGAACAGAAATCTCACAGAGGAAGACACAGACATGGCCAACATGCACATGAGAAAATGCTCCGCATCACTTGCCATCAGGGAAATACAAATCAAAACCACAATGAGATACCACCTCCCACCAGTGAGAATGGGGAAAATGAACAAGGCAGGAAACCACAAATGTTGGAGAGGATGCGGAGAAAAGGGAACCCTCCTGCACTGTTGGTGGGAATGTGAACTGGTGCAGCCACTCTGGAAAACTGTGTGGAGGTTCCTCAAAGAGTTAAAAATAGACCTGCCCTACGGACCCAGCAATTGGACTGCTGGGGATTTACCCCAAAGATACAGATGCAATGAAACGCCGGGACACCTGCACCCTGATGTTTCTAGCAGCCATGTCCACAATAGCCAAACTGTGGAAGGAGCCTCGATGTCCATCGAAAGATGAATGGATAAAAAAGATGTGGTTTATGCATCCAATGGAATATTATTCAGCCATTAGAAATGACAAATACCCACCATTTGCTTCGATGTGGATGGACTGGAGGGTATTATGCTGAGTGAAGTAAGTCAATCGGAGAAGGACAAACATTATATGTTCTCATTCATTTGGGGAATATAAATAATAGTGAAAGGGAATAGAGGGGAAGGGAGAAGAAATGAGTAGGAAATATCAGAAAGGGAGACAGAACAAGGAAGACTCCTAACTCTGGGAAACGAACTAGGGGTGGTGGAGGGGGAGGAGGCGGGAGGTGGGGGTGAGTGGGTGACGGGCACTGAGGGGGACACTTGACGGGATGAGCACTGGGTGTTATTCTGTATGTTGGCAAATTGAACACCAATAAAAAATAAATTTATTATTTAAAAAAAAGAAAAACAAAAACGAAAACAAAGAGACACACCTCTCAGGAGCCAACACCAGTCCATTCTCTCAGTGCATCTGAATAGGACAAATAGACCATGGAGATTTGCACCAGGACATAGTAGGAATTCACCACTATCTATACCCAAACCTCAGTCTACAAGCATCTAAATATTCTACTTATAGTAAGATGAACTGTTGTGTGGCATTATGATTATTTTTCAAAAACCAACAAGGATGTTAGATATTCAAACAAATAAACCAGACTATATGCTTCAAATGCATTGAGGCAAGATACAAAATAAAAATATACCGTTAAAAAATAAGATTGTATTTAAATTCGCTTAAGTGATAAATTCCTTTGAAACGTGGATCTTGAACTAGGGGACAATTCTTGTAGGACTTGGCATGGAAACAGTGATGTGGAAGATATGATCCCTAACTTCCAAGAGTTTAAAATCTTCCTGGTAAATTAAGACATTCATAAGAAAACATACACAATAAAGACCAGTTTGCAAATTACTCCTCTAAGACAAGAGTTAATATTCAAAGTACTTACTGGGGCTGGATGACTGCTGCCACCCAGTGGACACCAGCAGCTCTTAATCTGGCCAAGCCATCAATAAATCGAGTCCAAGCATTCTCAATAAATTCCTGGAAGAGGGCTTGGGAGGTAGTCAAACCTTCTTGGTTATTGGTCAAGGGGGAGGTGAAAGGCTCTAAAGATGTGCCTGTGACCATTCTGCATAAGAAAGACATAACTGCAGAACCAGATGGCTTCTGTGTTGAATATACCATCTTCATCTAATAAGAGAAGACTTGAACCTTTCCAACTCTGTGGCTAGCACTTGAAGGGCTCCCAACCAACACAGGACTATCTGGGTACAACGCTTCACCTGGAAACCCTATGAAAGGCACTTCGTCTCCAGGAGTTTCCAAAAGCAGGCCAATATCTGTCTCTCAAGTGAATATAGTGGTAGATCTATTGGGCAAGCAAGGTGTCCAGCACTTACAGAGAACTGCCATACAGAAGCTGCTTCCCTTGGTCAGAGGCCGCAGTCAGTGTAGTCTTCAAAGAGATATTTGTAGTTCAGACGAAACCTTGGGAAATTTAAACCCCAGGAGGAATGCTGCTGAGACAGCCTGCTGTCCTGCTTCCAGTGCTGTGGGCTGCTCAAGACCCCAGCCACATGGAGTATATTTTCTGGTCAACTTATACAAAGTTTCCAGACGAGCCGAATATTGTCTCTAATATCCAAGCAGTCTGATTAAGTGCTGGACTTCCTTTTTGATATTGAGGGCCCATAGGGCCAAGTAAATTCTCCTTTCCTGTCTCAGAGATCAATCTTTGAGCCTCAAACTTATGGTGCTCCTTAGGATCTGACTTGGTTATCAAGAAACTGTGTATGTTAAGCAACATGCATGATGGAAGATAGTAAGAATCTGAATGGTCATACCAAAACCGTTGTAGTTATCTCCCTTCCTGATTTCACTTCATTTCCAAAATCTTGCCAACTGAATGTTTGGCTCACACCTCTCAAGGGAACCTGATATTCAGAGAGCATAAATGCTTAATTCTATCATTTTTTGCCTCTATACCAACTGTATCTTCACTGGAATGTCAGGCTTTCTGCTCCACCCGCAGATAGGAAACCTAAGGTCCTCCCTGATTCTGCCTTTTCCTTCAAGGCTTTTAAATGAGAATACAGAGGTCCAGGGTCATATGGTAGAGAAGCATAAGGATTAATTGATTATTAAAAAAAAAAAGCCATACCCTTGGTTTTTCCAGTAAAGGAAGATTTCTGTGGAAGAATTTGGTTCTGTAGAAATACCTTCTGTTTCAACTAGTTGCATAATTGACTGATTGGCTTGGATTACATACTTTGCTTGGTTTATGGAAGAGTCTATATTTATCTCCAGGATCCTTTGGCTCAAAATGATCACAGGCTGCTACATAGGGCCTCCTGGCACTAACAACAAATTTAGTGAAGTCCTCCATATTGTGACTGCAGCAGACCTTAACGCTTATCAGTCTTTCTCTGTATGAGGAATTCATGTTCAGAGCTGTCATTCTGTCAAATTATAGAGACAGGATGAAGCAGCTTTCACTAGCATCCTCCATGGGATTGCATGGAATTTTACTGGCCTTGGAGAAATGTCGCTGTATTCACTACAATGTAATCACAGAAACAGAAATCCAAAGCAGCAAGCTCTCTTCAGGGCAGATGAGGACCTCACTTGAATCACAGTAACTTGAGGTATGAAATTTTGTGTGGGTTATTTGCCATTTGCCCTCTAAGAATATAACCTTTCTTACTGCTGCTTCTCATAGAGGCACCAGCCCAGGCTCTAAGAGCATTGTGGAATCTTGTTGAAAGTGGTCCTGGATTGCCCTTCTCTTTGTCTAATTATAGATCAGCATCTCAGTAGCACAGAGGCACTTTGATATTTGGTGATGGTTCACCATGTGCCACATCTGAGGCCTTCACTCAGGGCTCTACTTTTTATAACCAGCAGCAAACAGAAACCAGTTTCTCTCCCCTAGGGAGAAACCAGTCACAGGAAAGCCATCCTGTAGTCATCTTGACCTACTTAACTGCCTTTGTGACTAGCTACAGGGAGTTCTCAATGTCAAGGGACAGATTGGTACACTCAGCAAGAACATGAAATGGGCTGATGGTCGACTTTATGTCCCAACAATAGATGAACACTGAAACATAGCAGTTGAATTCTTTGTAGAATAGTAAAATTGAGTTGACAATGTCATGTGATGCACACTCTAATAAAATCCACTTTTCTGGGTTTTAACACTATACATTGTAAAAAAAAAGTTGATAAACTTTGAGATATCAAAGTAAAACCCATAAGAATAGACATCTGTAGATTTGAAATAAAGTCTTAATTTTTAGTTACTAATAAGTTGATTTAATGGCACTGCCTTTTTTTTTAATGGCACTGCTTTTTAATGAAGAATACAAAGTTAACAAAAACACTAACTCAAGAATATACAAATTGGGACCTTTGTTGGAGCCAATAATGGATCACTGTGCATGTGAGATGTGCCTATTTCACACCCTCCTCACAGGTAGTAGTCCAACCTGGGTACCTTGACTCTAAGAAACATGAAAAATAAACAAAAGCTAGAAAGGAACCTTTGTCCTTTTCCCACTTTTATATCATAAGACAAGTTAAACATACTCATCATCTAGGATGTTTGTTCCCAATACCTTAAACAATGCACTCTGTGTTTCAAATATTTACAATGGCATCAGTAAAAAGAACTATCTGATTCACTCAAAATGGGAACTTAGTAAATACAAAATATTTTTGCTGTATCATTTAAAACCTGCATTCCATTTCTAAGACTGTGTTTAACAATTTTACAATTCATGCATGTCTTGCACATAGTAGGCATTCTAAGTACCTGAACTACAATACGGTTCTAAAAACAATTCACAATTTTGATGAGAATCGCTCAGGTATGAATAGGTTGGTCTTGGAGCGGTCAGAATAAATGCAAAAAATTAATGAAATGAAACACAATGAATACCTGTGAAACCATCAAAAATATTTTAAGTAGTGCTGTAGACATAGAAAAATACACCTTGAGAGCTGTGCTGTTTGAGAGCAAAGACAGCTGGGGAGAATCTTATGATTTATTTAGATGTGCTTTTCAGTGCAATTCTCTACGTGGCTAAGGGCCATGATTCCAGTTTTACTATCCACATAAAGCATATATTATTTAAAAAAAGGAAGAGAGGTTAGGAAAGAAGAGAAAGGAAGAAGAGGAAGAAGTTTACTTTAAAACTCTTGTTTTTGGGATGACTGGGTGGCTCAGTGGTTGAGCATCTGCCTTTGGCTCAGGGAGTGATCCCAGAGTTCTGGGATGAGTCCCACATGGAGCTCCCTGCATGGAGCCTGCTTCTCCCTCTTCCCATGTCTCTGTCTCTCTCTGTGTCTTTCATGAATAAATAAATAAAATCTTAAAAAAAAAACCTTTATTCTTGGTTCTTTATTACTGAAATAAACAATATTAACAATCAAGAATCATGGTGACATGGTTCACAACCACATACTCATTAACTGTAGTCTTCCAATCCCCTTGTATCTGTCACTTCTGGAGTTAAAGTTTTGGGGTTTGGCATGGGTTATGGTTCCTAGTTCTCCAGGTACATGAAGCTTAATGCCATTTTCTGTTATGTACTCACTAAAGAGAAATAGTTCTCATCTATAAACATGACCATCATTTATGGATCTTTCAGAGAAGGAAATGAATGGCAATATGCCTTTAACCAGGTATTTATCTGGAAGCCTCATGACTGGCTTTAGTGTATAAGACAAACTCTGAGCTGGTCTGTTAAAAAAAAAAAAAAAAAAAAAGGAAAAAAAGAGCTCCTGAGGATTCTTTGTGTTCCCTAAAGTCACAGTAGAACAATTCATTTATGTGACACTTCCTTTCCTATTTTAATATCAGTGGCCTCTGGACTATGGAACTCACTTGACAAGGCAGCATAGGAAAGTGCTCCTACCCCGACAATGGATTGTAGAAAAAAGTCAGGAAGCTATTTTCAGAAGACACTGGAATTAAGAAAACCTAGGTAGGGGCACCTGGGTGGCTCAGTTGGTTAAGTGCCTGACTTTTCAGCTCAGACCATGATCTTGGGGTCCTGGGATCAAGCCTCACTTCACGCCCCCTGCTCAGCATGGCGTATGCTTCTTCATCTCCCTCTGTGCCTCCCCTCTGATCATTCTCTCTCTCTCTTTCTCTCTCTCTCTCTCTCAAATAAATAAAAACCTTAAAAGAAAGAAAATGTATGTAAAACTGACCCTTTTTTTTCTTTTTTTTTTACGATAGTCACGCACACACACAGAGAGAGAGAGAGAGAGAGAGAAGAGGCAGAGACATAGGCAGAGGGAGAAGCAGACTCCATGCACCGGGAACCCGACGTGGGACTCGATCCCGGGTCTCCAGGACCGCGCCCTGAGCCAAAGGCAGGCGCCAAACCGCTGCGCCACCCAGGGATCCCCCCAAAATGACACTTTTTAAAAACTGATTAAGAGGTACATCCTCAGGACTCCTGGATGGCTCAGTGGTGGAGCATCTGTTTTCAACTCAGGACGGGATCCAGATCCCTGAGTTCCTGGATCCAGTCCCACATTCGGCTCCCTGCATCTCATGAATAAACAAATAAAATCTTAAAAAAAAAAGAGGTACATCCTAGTAGCACCTATTGTGATAATTTTGATAGGCTGTATTTTCAGCTTAAGATGTTTTCAAGTTTCCCTTGTGATTTCTTTTTGATGACTGATTTATTTAGAAGACTATGCCTTAATTTTGTGTATCTGAAATATTCCAGATATGATAATATTAATGCCTAAGTAAATTTATTATGTTTAAAGAACATAATTTATGATTTTGGTGATTATTTGTCTAATTTCCATTCGTTTAAATTTATTGAGACAAGCTTTAGGGTTCAACATCTAGTTGAATGTTCTCTGAACACTTGAAGTCAGGGTTTTTGCTATAGCTGCATGTAAGTTTCCTATTGCCATGTTATAAATTTCCTCAAGTTTGGCACCTTACACGATATCCATTTATGATCTCAAATTCTGGTTGTTAGAAGTCTGGATAGGCTATACTGGCTTTTCTGCTTAAGGTCCCACAAGATGAAGTCAAGGTATTGATTAGGCTGAACTTTTATCTGGAAACTTGGAGAAAATTATACATGGAAGCCCATTCAG